CCTTCCTTCCAAGTAGAGGAGGGACAGTTCCAGTCATGTTGTTCTTTCTCAACTACAAAGCTTATTCAGAATTCATTGCACTAGCCACACTCCATTGCCATGGCTAACTTGAGCTGCAAACTGGAAAGTTTGTGTACAAAATATTGATCATCTCTCCATGATAAAAAGCCTCTTGGAATGTATGTTACACAAGAGTGCACAAGGGTGGGGGGATCAGATGTGTGGGGTAGCGCAGCACTGCTGGTAGGGCGATGACTTGGTCACAACAGCGTTACATACCCCAACAAGCCCATGCAACATCATTGATGCTGCCAGACCTGTAAAGGGTAATGAAGAGGGCAGAGGGTAGAGTGGAGGTCAGACAGGTGGCAGTCGAGTTCACAAACCACCACACTCGCATACAGGTGGCAGTACAGTACACAGGCCACCACACTCCACATTTGAGTGGTAATAAAAGTACGCAAGCCACCTCACTCCACAAATAGGTGGTAGTGCAGAATGCAAGCCACCTCACTCCACATACTATTCATTCACCTTCACTTTCTTCTGTGCCGGTTCGTCGATGCTGTCTGGAGAGTTGACGGAGACTGAGCTGGCAGAAGCAGCACCAGGTATCTGGCTGGGCACATCTTGAGTGTCTGATTCACTAATGACTTCAGAGATGGATTCACTGGGTGCTTCAGAAGCTGGCTCACTTGGGGCCTCAGATAAGGCCTCACTGGGAGCTTCTGACACAGCCATGGAATCATTTGTGTCTTCGCAGTTTAAGATAACTGAAGCTCTGCTATTCTCTGCATCTGAGGTGCCATTGGTATTTGCTGTGAGATTTTCCTTGTTAGCAAAGGCAGAGTCCATTGAGTCATTGCTCTCTTCTGGCACAGGACCACCCTGAAAACAAAAAAGTTATTTAATTACAGATACTAGCCAATTAGTGATCAAATATTGTATACCTGTCTGTTTCCCATTGCTGTATATGTTTACTGAGAAATGCATAGTTTTATGCTCTCCAACAAAAGCATCAAAAGCACAAGTCACATTACTAAACTATATTTTTATTAGTGATAAAGAACAAATCAACAAATTAGTAAACAAGAGTAAAAATGTGTAATTTACCTCCAATGAAACAAAGTATCAGTAATTTTGCCAGAGTGCAAAATGTTCAAACAGTTTTTTGTTTCACATCTCTTTGGTAAGATGGTAGTGCTTCCCTAGGGCAACAGATATCCAACAACCATTTTCTTTACCTTTACAAAAAGAGTTCTAAGACCTAAAGCAATCTACAAGTATAGAAGCACTTTTGGAGTTATGAGGGAGAAAATTAGAGAATTAACCATGAAGCCCAACCAGCACAGAATGACAAGTTGAATTTCCAAGATGTGAGTGCAGAAAAGGATGACCAAATCCATGACTGAAAGAGTAGGAGGAAGTTCATTTTAAAAATGGTTGCTAGGAGTGTGTGAAGGAGGGTTTAGTTGGTGAGGGGTTGGTAATAGGTTTGTGTAAGCCTGTTAATTGATGAAAGCCTATGCAGTAGGTTTCTTCAATTCAAAACAGAGATGATATGCAAAGACAGTAGAAGAGGCAACCAATCCCTCAGCCTATGAGGGAATTTAGGGAAAACTGATTAGCTGGACTTAAAAAGTCCTGCAGATGGGAAGTACAGTGACTGTGTTCTAAAGGACAGATAATAATGTTGCAGTTCAGTCATTTGAATTGTCACATCAGTACACTTCTGACAAGTGAATGAGTGAGTGAATGATGGTGAATGTTTGTCTGTGGGGGTCACCCTACCATAGTGAGAGACTGCTGATAAAGCAAAGGTAAAAATATATAAAACTCACCATGCCTAAACAAAAACTAAAGTGTGAAAGAATCTGAAAAAGTAATAACCAAGAAAATTAAGATACTATTAAAATTGTAAAAAGTTGTTTAAAAGATGTGAAGAAAGGTGGTAACTATGACTGGCTGGGTCCAGTAATATTGTGGGATTACAGATTTCTATATCTAACTCTTCAACTTCCATTCTGTATTATCTATGCATGTTGTTAATGTCATGCTTAATGGAAGAGAAAGTAATTAGCCTGCCATAATGCACCTTCGGACAACACCAAAGCCAGAGTCAACAGGGAAATGGCACACCACCTATATTGATAATAATGTTATTGGCAGCAGCTGGCAGAAGACTTGCCCACATATCTTTCCTTATTTTACTAGCCAAATACTGCTTTACCTAGTAAGTTGTGGTAATCTAGAATATGTGAGGTGCTCGAGCAGTGAGCCGGTGTCAGTGGACATTTACAGTACCTTCGCAACAACAGAAAAGCTGGTGTCAGCGAACATTAACACTATCTCCACTACAACAGAATACTGAACCACTATTCACCAGTTATCATCAATCATTAACATGTTCAACAAATGTTGTATAAGCTGCATTTCTGCATCACTAAAGACATGGGATTAGAGACAGATCCAGGAATTGTACAGGGAAAGGGATCCATCCTTACCTGTCCAGAGGTAAGGAAGGAGGGGAGGAAGACAAAGTTGAATGGTGGAATGCATGTACAGCCAACTGCATTAGGAATTAGTCAATTAACAATAGTGTGTGTCCAGCAGGCTCCCCATACAATGAGTCAAGTCCAATGCACTGAGATTGTCAATTCATGGAAAATTATTTCATAATTTTGATACAACATACATTAGGATCTATCAAATACATCCTTCCCCATTAGCCCATTATACCAAGGATTCACTGTATTTCTAATGACATATGGCTTAGGTGTACTAACATTTTTTGCTTTCTGAGGTGAGACTGACTTCGAATCTCCATTTTCTGTAGGCTGCTGTGTGGATGATGGACCAGTGGCAGTAGAGCCACCAGGCATATCATCAAGGAGTTCCTTCTTCAACTCTGCAACAACGAAGTGCGCCCAGAGCGCCATCTCAACCTTGTGGGGGTTCCACGTAGTTGAACTTGCTGAGTTAATAAAAATTGGGCAATTAAAGAAAAATCTAGAACTAGCCACCAAAAACTAGTACCACCCTGAAAGTTTACCACTAAAAAATAAATCTTTTCAAAAGTTCTCTCATAGACTGAGATATATTTGTTTATGAATAAACATTGTATATATTTTTTTTTACTTTTCACTAAAATTAAGTAAGAAACCAAACTTGTTATAATTAGCATTATATAATTCAGCTTAAACCCACCCAGCCTATCTTTGGTCGAAATTAATTAAGCTAGTATTATTTAGCATCAATGAAATTAATAATTACATATGGAGTGAGTTAAACAAGTTAAGAAAGCCTAGGGAAAGTATGGATTTGTCAGTTAAAAACAGAGTAGGGGAGTTAGTAGATGGGAAGAGGGAGGTATTAGGTAGATGGCGAGAATATTTTGAGGAACTTTTAAATGTTAAGGAAGAAAGGGAGGCGGTAATTTCATGCACTGGCCAGGGAGGTATACCATCTTTTAGGAGTGAAGAAGAGCAGAATGTAAGTGTGGTGGAGGTACGTGAGGCATTACGTAGAATGAAAGGGGTAAAGCAGCTGGAACTGATGGGATCATGACAGAAATGTTAAAAGCAGGGGGGGATATAGTGTTGGAGTGGTTGGTACTTTTGTTTAATAAATGTATGAAAGAGGGGAAGGTACCTAGGGATTGGCAGAGAGCATGTATAGTCCCTTTATATAAAGGGAAAGGGGACAAAGAGATTGTAAAAATTATAGAGGAATAAGTTTACTGAGTATACCAGGAAAAGTATACGGTAGGGTTATAATTGAAAGAATTAGAGGTAAGACAGAATGTAGAATTGCGGACGAGCAAGGAGGTTTCAGAGTGGGTAGGGGATGTGTAGATCAAGTGTTTACATTGAAGCATATATGTGAACAGTATTTAGATAAAGGTAGGGAAGTTTTTATTGCATTTATGGATTTAGAAAAGGCATATGATAGAGTGGATAGAGGAGCAATGTGGCAGATGTTGCAAGTATATGGAATAGGTGGTAAGTTACTAAATACTGTAAAGAGCTTTTATGAGGATAGTGAGGCTCAGGTTAGGGTGTGTAGAAGAGAGGGAGAATACTTCCCGGTAAAAGTAGGTCTTAGACAGGGATGTGTAATGTCACCATGGTTGTTTAATATATTTATAGATGGGGTTGTAAAAGAAGTAAATGCTAGGGTGTTCGGGAGAGGGGTGGGATTAAATTATGGGGAATCAAATTCAAAATGGAATTGACACAGTTACTTTTTGCTGATGATACTGTGCTTATGGGAGATTCTAAAGAAAAATTGCAAAGGTTAGTGGATGAGTTTGAGAATGTGTGTAAAGTAGAAAGTTGAAAGTGAACATAGAAAAGAGTAAGGTGATGAGGGTATCAAATGATTTAGATAAAGAAAAATTGGATATCAAATTGGGGAGGAGGAGTATGGAAGAAGTGAATGTTTTCAGATACTTGGGAGCTGACGTGTCGGCGGATGGATTTATGAAGGATGAGGTTAATCATAGAATTGATGAGGGAAAAAAGGTGAGTGGTGTATTGAGGTATATGTGGAGTCAAAAAACGTTATCTATGGAGGCAAAGAAGGGAATGTATGAAAGTATAGTAGTACCAACACTCTTATATGGATGTGAAGCTTGGGTGGTAAATGCAGCAGCGAGGAGACGGTTGGAGGCAGTGGAGATGTCCTGTCTAAGGGCAATGTGTGGTGTAAATATTATGCAGAAAATTCGGAGTGTGGAAATTAGGAGAAGGTGTGGAGTTAATAAAAGCATTAGTCAGAGGGCAGAAGAGGGTTGTTGAGGTGGTTTGGTCATTTAGAGAGAATGGATCAAAGTAGAATGACATGGAAAGCATATAAATCTATAGGGGAAGGAAAGAGGGGTAGGGGTCGTCCTCGAAAGGGTTGGAAAGAGGGGGTAAAGGAGGTTTTGGGGGTGAGGGGCTTGGACTTCCAGCAAGCGTGCATGAGTGTGTTAGATAGGAGTGAATGGAGACGAATGATACTTGGGACCTGACGATCTGTTGGAGTGTGAGCAGGGTAATATTTAGTGAAGGGATTCAGGGAAACCGGTTATTTTCATATAGTCGGACTTGAGTCCTGGAAATGGGAAGTACAATGCCTGCACTTTAAAGGAGGGGTTTGGGATATTGGCAGTTTGGAGGGATATGTTGTGTATCTCTATACGTATATGCTTCTAAACTGTTGTATTCTGAGCACCTCTGCAAAAGCAGTGATAATGTGTGTGTGTGGTGAAAGTGTTGAATGATGATGAAAGTATTTTCTTTTTGGGGATTTTCTTTCTTTTTTTTAGGTCACCCTGCCTCGGTGGGAGACGACTGACTTGTTGAAAAAAAAAAAAAAGAAAATGCCGGACTAGAGTCCTGGAAATGGGAAGTACAATGCCTGTACTTTAAAGGAAGGGTTTGGGATATTGGCAGTTTGGAGGGACATCTAAACTGTCATATCTGAGCACCTCTGCAAAGAATGTGATTATGTATGAGTGATGGTGAATGATGATTAAAGTTTTTTTTTCTTTCTTTTAGGATCGCCCTGCCTCAGTGAGAAATGGCTGGTGTTAAAAAAAAAAAAAAAAAAACTGAGTGTGTTTGTGTGTCCCTCTAAAAAATAACAAAAAAGCACAATACCATGACTGGTACAATACGTACACAAATAAACTGCACATAGGAGACAGGAGCTTTGTGACTTTGTAAATGGTCCAAGTCAGACCAAACCGTCATCTTAAGTTCCTCTCTCCTGTGGTGTGTTACTTGTGTACTCTCAAAAATATTTTTAAGTAACAAATTGACTACCTTCTTTATTTAATCTATTAGCTGCTACTTTGAGTTGCTCCACAAAATTAAGAAGTTCTTTCGTGGTATAGTCAATTCCTTCAATTTCCGGGATTGCCAAAAGACACTCGTCCGCCATGAAGCCGCACAACTCCGGGCTGCCCGCCGTCAGGATTGCTGGAAATAGAGAAGATTAGCATGCAGTGCACATAATGTACTGTAACACAACCAATGAAGACTTCTAGAATGATATAGTTGATGAAGACTTCTAGAATAATTCGCAAAATGACAGAACACTGGAGTGGAGCACAACTCTGCTTCTGTAACTTCAAACCAATGTTTACAACTAGGTAATTACCTAGTGATTCAATATAACCTATTTGGTGAAAATGCAGTCTAACAACAGTTTATAATATCAGGACATTATCTGATGTGATTATTGCTGCTGCTGTTAACTTGCACTGTATATAATACAGTGGACTCCCGGTTTACGATATTATTTCATTCCAGAAGTATGTTCAGGTGCCAGTACTGACCGAATTTGTTCCCATAAGGAATATTGTGAATTAGATTAGTCCATTTCAGACCCCCAAACATACACATACAAATGCACTTACATAAATACACTTACATAATTGGTCACATTGGGAGGTGATCGTAAACCGGGGGTCCACTGTACTTACTAGCACATGCCTCATATTCATGAAGGACTTTAAAGGTGCCAAGCAATATAAAATTATCAAAATGTTAAACCCACAAGAGAATCATTACATAGTGATGTGTAGCTCAGTAGTGCTGATAGACTCACAACAGAAGGACCCAAGTTCGTTTCTTTAGTCAGGTCAAGATGTACGGGCCGTCTCATTACACATGCTGCCCTTGTTTACTTACCAGTAAATGGGTACCTTCATGTTAGTCAACTGTTGTGGGTCACAATCACGGGGTGGTAATACATCTAAGGAAGGGCTAGGCTTTGAAATGATCTGGGTCAATATAACACCTAACCTGTGAATTGAACTACAATACACATATATAGAAAACTATTACACATCAAACATAAATGACGAAGCAGATATTCTCATATAAAAAGATAGGATGCATTTACTTGAGGTCTAAGACACTTACTTGAAGCCATTGCAGGACCAACACCTTTTAAATTACATAAGGCCTGGATGGCAGACGGCAAATCTTCTTTCTTCATCAAGGCGCGGAATGCTTTTTTTGTTTCAGTCATACAGAGCCGCGGAGTGTTCATCTGGATCAAATCTTTTAGTCTTGGCGAAAACTTTCCACGCTGAAAGTAGTATCAAATATTAATATTATTCGATAAAGAACAAAACAAAATAAAGCAAACTACAGTGGAACCTCGGTTTTCATATGCCCTAGTTGGAGGCAATTCTTGGAGAAAATTCTCTATAAAATGTATTTTTTGTTATTATTTCTGGAACGGATTAATTGGTTCTGTTCCAGACACCCAAAAATATATAAAAAAAAGTACACTTTATAGAGAATTTTCTCAAAGAACTGTCTCCAACTAGGGCATACGAAAACTGAGGTTCCACTGTATATATAATGAATATAAAACCTTTATTAAAAGGTCATCGTTAAAAACTAAAATGCGGATGAAAACAATTCCCCTCAAGAGGTAACAGGATGAAAAACATATCTGTTCAAATCACAACAATTATGTTAACCCTTAAATGGTCCAAACGTATATATACGTTTTTATCAACATCTGAAAGTATGTAAAAAATTGTAATCTTTTTTGTTTTACATTTGAAAACGTGTAAAAAACTTTTTTCTACATTTTTTTTTTTTTTGTTATATTTGAAAATATGTAAAAAAAAGTAGATCTACTTTTGTAGCTACGAATTTGAACGTCGATCTGTTTGGACCGTTTAAGGATTAAAAAAAAAAAGTACATTTCACTTTGACATCTTATTAGAGAGAATCATAACTAAATGACCACCTTCCAGCAAGTTACTGCTAAACCTGGAATGTTCCATCAATGAGAGCAATCAAACTACAAGAGAGAAGATCAATGTAAAGGACCAGGGGCAACTGTGTCAGACCTTACATTAAAGGAACACAAATGTGTTATCACATCTCTGCTTCAAAACAAAACATGTCAAGCCAATGATAATATTCTTTAGGACACTTGTATTCTCTTTACTATAATACAGTGGACCCCCGGTTAACGATATTTTTTCATTCCAGAAGTATGTTCAGGTGCCAGTACTGACCGAATTTGTTCCCATAAGGAATATTGTGAAGTAGATTAGTCCATTTCAGACCCCCAAACATACACGTACAAATGCACTTACATAAATACACTTACATAATTGGTCGCATTGGGAGGTGATCGTCCACTGTATTCATTTACACTAACAGCTCCTTTAAGGCAAAACTGTAGACCTGGAGAATGCTGACATTTAACTGTTTTTCTAAACGTGGACAAACAAATTATTGAGGTGTCTTGTAGGATAGTTTTTATGGTTTTTATTAGCTGTTTCTTGATATCAATTGATAGTATGGAAGACATACTACTGAACCAGAGATGATTTTAGTTGGTGTCAGGACAGGAAGTAACTTGACCCAAGATTCAAAATAGCAGAAATATTTGATTTTTCCTGAGGAAGGGTAAGATCCCACCCCAAGTCTGTTTTAGGGATTTTTACTATAGGTTTTCTTCAATTGTTGGGAAGCCTTAAATCAATAATTCTTGGTTATATTTTATGAATTAAGAGAAACAGGGTCAAGTTTCTAGTCTTTGTGAGATGATGGGTTCAAAATGGACAAGTGTAACATTAGGAGAGGCCTGGGAATGTGATTAATAGAGGATAGGTTGTCTTAGTAGCTGGAATGCATACAGTATTTATTTTGGACTATTTTTAAATCAAATTTTGCTGAATGTTGTGTAAAATTTACCAAATAACTGACTTCCCTGCAATTTATAGGTTAGTTCTGACAAGTTGCATTAGTGGTTCCTCGTGTTCAATCGATACAACAGAAATCATACTAGTGAAATAGCTAAGAATTTAAGAAATGAACAATGGAATTGGCTTAAAACAGGACTCAAAGTGGGCAAAATTGTCACTCCATAAACTTCACCCAGACCACCAACTTTGCCCCTGTGTAATTCCACAATTTTTCCATCAAATTTATATTTATGGTATCATTACCTTCAGAAGAAATATTCCCTACTATTTCTAAGAAACTTTTTTTTTTTAAATTTGAACAGTGTGAGCACTTTTAATTACAGGTCTAGACAGCATTAGCATGAAAATACAGAAAAAAATCCAAAAAATACACAATTTGACAAATCTATGCTCCGTTAAAAAGACTATCCAGAAATAAACATTGAATAATTTTTTTCCTTCAAAGTGTCACTCTGCTTTAGTGAGTGTGACTTAACAAATCAAACACGTGAAAATGAGGACTTGAGGAAAGAGGATACACCTTGGGTTATCTGAGGTGCAGAAAACAAAACTTACCGAGAGTTTCCATTTCATACATAAGCAGAGTTCTTCATGGGTGAGGTGTGCATCCTTGCCTCTTGATTTTATCCTCACTGGAAGTTCTGTTTGATACCTGATGAGACAATTTCAAAATTAGTTCAGAATCATAACACTTTAGGGTCCCACCTTTAACACTTAAGCTGTCCAAACGTAGATCCCCTTTTTTTCAACATTTGACAGTATGTAAAAAAACATATTTTTTTTTATTTATATTTGAAAACGTGTAAAAAACTTTGATCTACTTTTTTTTTGTTATATTTGAAAATATGTAAAAAAACGTAAATCTACTTTTGGAGCACTACACATGTGAACATAAATTTGTTTGGACAGTTTAAGTTAGTTAATTTATTCCTTATTATCTGTTTGAGGTTCTAGGGATTATCTTCCTCACAACCTGGTCTCCGACCAGGTCTACTAACTTGTAAAGGAAATATTACAGCATTTAAAACTGCTGTTTACCAACCCATTAATAATAATAATAATAAAAATAATAATAATTTACATTTTTTTTTTAACAAGTCGGCCGTCTCCCACCGACGAAGGGCAACCCAAAAAGAAAGAAAATCTCAAAAAAGATAATACAGTGGACCCCCGACTAACGATATTATTTCAATCCAGAAGTCTGTTCGGGTGCCGTTATAAACCGAATTTGTTCCCATAAGGAATATTGTGAATTAGATTAGTCCGTTTCAGACCCCCATAAATACACCTACAAAAGCACTTACAAAAATACACTTGCATAATTGGTCGTGTTGGGAGCTCATCGTTAGTTGGGGGTCCACTGTACTTTCATCATTCAACACTTTCACCTCGCTCACACATAATCACTGTTTTTGCAGAGATGCTCAGAATACAATATACGTGTATTAATAAATAATAATAAAAACTTCCATGTGGAAGCGGAAAAGAATTCCTCCTCTGTAAGCCATGTGTCACAAGAGGAGACTAAAATGCCGGGAGTAAGGGACTGGTAACCCTTTCTTCTGTATAAATTACCAAATTTAAAAAGAAAAACTTTGTTTTTCTTTTGAGGTCACCCTGCCTTGGTGGAATATGGCCAGTTTGTTGAAAAAATAAATAAAAACAAAATAAAAAAATAATAACAACAATAATAATGATAATTTAATAATGTGCAGTAAAAATAACATGATGTTCAACGGTGACAAATTTCAACTGCTGAGAAGAATGAAAAAAAAAAAAAAAACTGAACATATTGTATACAGAAAGCTGGCAGCCCATCTCATAGAAGATAGGGAACAAATAAAAGACTTAAGAATAATTATATTAGATCTGTCATTTAGAGCACACAAATCGAATTTAGCAAAGGCAAGGAAAATGACAGGGTGGACTGTGTGAATATTGAAAAAAATATAGAGAAGCAATGCCAATGGAAACAAGTCACTTTGACTTTTTATGGGTTATCCTAAGTAATTTACTTATTTATGTGTACCTGTGCCTAAATGTACTTACTTACTGCACTTAAAGAATTAAATGGTTCTCTCATTGGTAATATTACTCTGTGCTGACACTGCCTTTCAGGGCACGAGATAACGAGCTGGAAAATGTGGAGATTATTTACTACCCACTTAGTATCAATAAAACCAATATACTTCTTGGTATGCTCACAAAGCACTTGGAACATGGGAGAGAGAGTCAATATGGTATACAGTACTGTACTGTACATGGAAAATATGTGAGGGTCTGGTCCCCCAATCTGCATACCTTTGATATACATGTATCTTTGAAAGGGTTTGAGTTTTTTTTTTTTTTATTCCCAGTCCAGCCCTGGGCCAGGCTTGTCTGGTGCTTGCCTGATTAATCAGGCTGTTGCTGCTGGCAGCTTGCTGGCCCACATATCCATCACACAACTTAGGTGATCTGGCACTTGGCAGAGGTTATTTGTTTAGTTAGCTCTTGAAGACTTCTACACTTGTTCTGGCACTGACATAATCAAAGCAAAAGACTGTCAACATCCATAGCCCAAGATTTCAAACTTGTTACCAGCAGGAATCAGAAATATTGCCAAAATGAAGGTTAAAATTTTCAAGCCGAAGCTGAACACTATCTCCTGCAAATTCCCAATCAGCCAAATTGCGACAGCTAAGTTGGTCTGCCGGCCACTAGCAAAAACAGCCTGGTTGACCAGGTGGGTAACAAGGAAGCCTAGCCAGGCTGCTAAGATATACAACCTTAAAATAGGTCCCAGATATGCAAGTCACAATCTACAAAGACAGAAGAACCTTTGGAACAAGTCACAATTACAATATTTCAAGTCGTATAACTCATGTTAACGACCCAAAACTTGTACAGCAAATAAGAACATAATAGAGGTTACACTGCAGCAGGCCTACTGCCCTGATGCAAAAATCCCTTACTATTACGTACTATACAGTGGACCTCCGGTTAACGATATTTTTTCATTCCAAAAGTATGTTCAGGTGCCAGTACTGACCGAATTTGTTCCCATAAGGAATATTGTGAAGTAGATTAGTCCATTTCAGACCCCCAAACATACATGTACAAATGCAGTTACATAAATACACTTACATAAGTGGTCGCATTGGGAGGTGATCGTTAAGCGGGGGTCCACTGTATTATAGTGTACAGAAGCTCTAACAACTGCCTCCCAAAGATGTCTCCCTCTATCGCTTTCTAAGTTTGGGGGTCAGTATATTACACCTAAAACTAATTTTCTAGTAATTGTACCCAGACTGTCTGTATGGGATTTTATGCATGTTTTGATGCAACAATTCATATTTTTTCAGACATATAGTTTAGGTTATTTTAGTGAGGCTCATCTCAAATTTGGAGGCAACACCTGAAGCATTTAGTTTCAGAAGTCATACAGATCAGAACAATTGTGAAAGATTTTTGCTGTGTATCAGCAAATCCATCTTCAAATAAGATTGAATAGATGTGTTTAAGTTTTTTTGTGGACCCCACTATCAGGAGCAGGAAACGTCACTAGTGATAAGAGGAAATCAGATAAAAAGAAAAAGCCTGTACATATATCAGGAAGTTTAGAACATAACAGTAAAAATATAATTAAAGAGCAATCTCCATAAATAATTGTTTTAAACTTGGCTCAAAAAATCATAATAACATGACTGCAACAAATCACATCTCAAGTACCAGTATTTGCAGTCAAAATATTATCATGTTACAGCATTCACATCTCTGGCACAATATTTATTTGCAATGATATATATATTATTAAGACTAACAGTTTACAAAGTTCCTATTAAGGCAAGCAAACCTGTCTTTTTTCCCCACATTAACAGCTGTCCTATATACACAAGATAAGATTTTATTCAGATTTTTAACCTCGGAGGGTTAGCCACACAGGATAACCCAAGAAAGTCATTGCATCATCAAGGACTATCTTTTTTCCATTGGAGTTCTTAAATCTTGTTCCTCAGGATCCAACCCACACCAGTCGACTAGCACCCTGGTACCTACTTGCTTGTTAGATGAATGAAGACAACAAGTATAAGGAAACATGCCCAATGTTTCTACCCTTCCCAGGGATCGAACCACAGATGCACTGTGTGAGGCGAGAGTTTGCCTACCAGGCCATAGGGCACAATTTGGAAGAAACCATTCAGATGACCTTAGGTTCCCTCCTTACTTTAATTTCACATGACTATCCTTTGACTTTTGTCTCTCTCTTTTTTTTGACATATTTTACAGTACATTTTGCTAAGTTTGAGGACATTGGTCCATGAACAATTACTGTACTATGTAATAAATTTTTATACAAAAAATGGAATATGCATACATATACAAACAACAAAAAGCTATCTGTGACATCATGTGTGCTTAAATCAACTCAAATATAAACTTACTGCAAATAAAATTAAAAAAAATTACAGAGCACTTTACCTGAAGATTCTAAAAGTTCCCTATTTCCCAACCACTTCAAAAAGCAAAAGTGAAAAAAAAAATTAAGTTAATGCAAATCAAATGTGGAATATATTCAATGCAACCTTCTTATCCAGATTTCAATATATCATGTAGCTGCAGCACCAATACAGCATCATGCAGTACCAGTACAGTATCATGCAGCACCAGTACAGTATCATGCAGTACCAGTACAGAATCATGAAGTACCACCAGTACAGCATCATACAGCACCAGTACAGAATCATGCAGTACCACCAGTACAGCATCATGGAACACCAGTACAGCATCATGGAACACCAGTACAGCATCATACAGTACCACCAGTACATCATCGTGAAGCAGCACCAATACATCATGCAGCAGCACCAGTACAGCATTATGCAGTACCAGCACCTGAGGGAGTTCCGGGGGTCATCGACTCCAGGACCCAGTCCAATCCAACCTAACCTAACCTGACTTTTGGTATCTGCCCAACTTTCTCTTGAAGACAGAGGTCCATTTGTAATCCCCCTGATGTGTGATGGGACAATGTTTTCTCTCAATGTACTCACAGCACCCCTTTTTTCATTGGGAGGGGGGTGTTTGTTGCACCATCTGCAGATTCTTTTGCTTTCATGGGGAGTGATTTCTGTGTGCAGATTCAGAACCAGTCCCTCTAGGATTTTCCATGTGTAGATTATGATGTGCCTTTCTTGCCTGTGCTCTAAGGAGTACTTTCAAACATATGCAGTGAAGGTTCTGTGTACATTCTCCAGATCTGTAATTTCGCCTGCTTTGAAAGGGGTTGTCAGTGTACACAGCAGTAGTTGTCCAGCCGAGACAGAACAAGTGACTTAGATATCCTGACATTATCACTACTAAGTCATTCACATTAGTTTTTCGCTCTACTGTGTAGTTACAGTTTGTCCTTTACTCCGTCCTAGATTTTAATTCCTCACGTTTTCCAAGACAGAGTAGCTGGAATTTGTCCTCAATGTGCTTCATATTGTTTTCTGTGGCCCACTGGAAGACTTGGTTTATATCTGCTTGAAGATTTAGTATCCTCAATGGATGGCACTGTCATGCAAATTCTAGTATCCTCAGCAAAGACGCTGCTTGGGTTTACATCTCCGTCTATGTCAGTTATTAGTTAGATTTATGATTTAACTGTTTACTATTACTCTTGGATAG